GGCGGGGTGGGTCGGGACGGGGTGGGGCTTAGGGGAGGGGTCCGGGGTGGGGTGGGGTGGGGCGGGTGTCGGAGGAGGGGATTTCGGACGCCGGCTCTTGTGGCGAGGACGATGGCTTCTAAGGAAGCCGTCGTCTGCGCCTTGTCTGTCGTGTGAATCGTGCGTGTGCGAGAGCCTTTTGTTGTGAAATTCTGGACTAAATCGTTCATAATTATCGAAATACGTACGTCCCGGAGCTAGCTTCAGCGCCACACCACTACGTTGCGGCCACGGGTCGCTACCACCGCCGAGCTGGCGCCTCCCGATGGCCGCCGAGTGTCGTGCGCCATCCGCATGTGTCCTCGTCACGCCTGAGCGCCGCGTGCAAAGGGCGGCGGCCTCGAGCGAGCAGCACTCGGTCGTCGCACCACAACACACCAGAAGAGCCGGCGGACCGCAACACACCAGAAGAGTGGGGAGGCTCGTCCGCCATGCCGATTGTCCATCAACCACCTATGAGAGCAGAGCAGAGCTTGCGACACGGTCTACAGCCTGACATATTAGTTCCGCCCATGGCGTGTCTGACTCCGAGGCGGTGCGATGCGCCATCCATTGCCTCGCCCTCTGATGCCGCCGATGCCTCGCCATCGCGTAGCGGACAGCTCGTGCACTGCCTTCGTAGGCGACAGCCGGCAGCGATTGCGTACGCCGAGTGAAGCCACGGTACATCAACCGGCGCTGTGTGGCCACAAGTTCGGCCACTGTGGTGTGCGCTGCTGTGGTGGCTCTCCGGCCTCTCGGGGCTGCGGGGCGAGACACACGCAACACCCGCTATCAGCCCCTCCCTCTAATCCTTCATTCGCAGCAGCTGCAAAATGTGCATGGCAACACTCTCTCTCTCGAGGTTCTCGAGGTGGATATCCTTTGGCCGCGTTGGGTAGCGAGGATTGGTGTAACCCGAGCCACGGAGGCGTGTTTTCTGGCGGCCGACCGTCAGTGCACGGAGTTGCCCCTTCTCCGACTGCCCCGGCTAGTTCCCGAGGTCGTCGGGTGTGACCCCTTCGTCCCCCAAGACCTAGCGCGGGTGGGCTGGAGGGGCCTCGGAAAGGCGCGCAAGCACGCCCTACGTCTTCCCCTCCTCCCCATCGGGCCGCGTGAGCGGCCACGCCTCGCAGATTCGTTTTCGCGCCTGGGTCAGGCGCGCGGGGCATCCCCCGGGTCGCTCGACCAGCGATCCGAAGAGTGGCCGCTATGCGAGGGACAGAGCGGGGCCCTCGACGCCTCAGTCCGGCCCTCCGAGGGGGGAAGGGAATTGCGGGGTCCCCTCGGGCGCCTCAGTTCGGCCCTCCCGAGGGGGGGAGGGGAGCAAGGGGGTGGGGGGATCGGGGCGGTGGGGAGGGGTCTCATGGCAACACGTACTTACAACTGCAGGTGCCAATTACTCTCTTCTACTGCACCCCTCCCCCGCGGCGGCTGCGGCGCGGCTGAGGGCTCGGGGGCTCCTCGCCAGCCTGCCGCCCCCGCTTGCCTCGACCGCCCCGCCGACTCTTCTTCTTTTGAGGCTTCGCGGCAGCGGCGCCGGCGCCGAATCGCTCCTGTCTCTCGCGCTTCTCCTGGCGCTGTTTCTCCTTGTCGCTGCGGGCCGCATCTGTCGAGGAACCGGAGGCTCCAGAGCCAGCGCCGTTTGAGCCGCGCGCGCGGGCTTGCGAGTTGCATCGCGCCTGCCGCCGCGCGGCGCCGTACGGCGAGGCGGCGTGATGCGGCGGGCTCCAAGGCGCAGGGCGTTTGCTTTTGCGGCGCGAGGTCGGCGACACGGAGTGCAGAGGGGAAGGAGCGGGAGGGGGCGCCTGTGACTCCGCCTCTGACTCCTCTGCGTCCCGCGCGCGAGCCAGGCGACCCCGCTGGCGGAATGGCTTCGGCGGGTTTGATTTGCGTGACGAGGATCGCCCGCGCCTCGTCGCCCCTCGCCCGTCCTCACGCGGCGCTGAACGCCCATCTGCGCCGTTCCCATCGCAGTTGCACTCACGCCGGCAGGGTTGACACTCGCGCAGATGTTGTGGCGCCTCCCGCTGGTGCCAGTCATCCCAGCAAAACTTACACAGGCGCACTTTGCAAATGCGACACATCAGGGGCGTCCACGCGATCGGGGTCCACATCTTTGACTTTGATACCAGCCTCCCTCGCCGCACGAGTGGCGCGCAACTCGCAAAGATGGCAACGCCCTTTCCCCTTGAACCAGCGATTCGGGACTGACTTCTTGCCCTTCACCTCGTTTTTGCCCGGCACCGGAAGGGATTTGCGATTCTTTTCTACATTCACTGGCTTCCCATGGGTAATGCCATGGTCTGGTGGCGGCGGCAGCAGCAGCGGGCGTTCCCAGTGGAGCCGACGCGTCATCGGCATGAAGTGCGGCTCATCGCCCCCCTCCTCGATGGACGCCTCAGTTGTCCCCCGTCGGATGAGCAGCTTTCCGAGTGTCCGCTGGAACCAACGGTTGAAATCTTTGAAGCCGTGACCGTTCGTGATGCTCGCAAGAGCCGCACCACCAAATTTGGTCTTGACCAGCTCACAAAATGCGGTCCGGACGTTGACCACACCGACGGCCGGCAAGAGCCACCCGAGAAAGAGGGCGCGGTGGAAGCGCTGTTTGCAGCGACCCATGCCCATGCGGGTTGCTGCAAGCATTTTGGTGAACTGATCGACTGCGCCCATGTATTTATTGTACCGCTGCAGCGCCTCGCTGCACTTGAACTCCCGCCGCTCACCGTGCTCCTTGACCCAGCGGCGCACGGTCGTTTCCTCTTCCGACATGTACGCCGTGCCGAGCAGAGTCACCCACCGCGCGTCGCGCCACAGCTCGGTCATGAGCCAGTCAATATCGCCTGCCTTGAGCTTCGTGTAGGCTCGACGTGCATACCCACGCTCCCACTCCTCGAGCTCCTTTTTGCTGTATCCCCGGAAGGGCCAGTAGTTTGCTGCACCGTCCGCGTCGACCTCGCCCAGCGGCATGGAAGTGGGCTTCGGACGGCCACTCGTGCGCAGCATGCCGAGCAGGTAGGTTTTGCGAGCGGCGAGCATCTTTGCGAGTTTGAAGGACGTGAAGGCCTTGTCCGAGTACAGACATGCAAAGGTACCATCGAATTTTGAGTTGCACGAGCAGCCAGAGGTGCCGCCGCTGCAAGTGTGCCCCATGAGCCGGTTCACCAGCCCCAGCAGGTACGCAAGCTCCGCCGGTGTCTCACCCTCCGCGTTGCCCTCCTCTAGGTCACCAACATCGGTTGGCTGTCCCCGACCGTGCTCGTCTGGTTTGCCAGC